AGATACTCACAATCGTAATGCAACATCAGCTACTGTATTATCACCTTCGATTTAATAAACTTGTCCAAACATTACATATTCAAATTGATCAAATCTATTTGCATCACTATCTTGATTAATTTTTATCACTATCGAGTGTGCTATTCTCTCCTAATGTTGTACATATTTTCATTCGAAATTTATCACCTAAGTAGACAATAATAAGAATTTATTAAAATCTACTGTTGAGCAGATTAATCCATTACATATCGAAAACATCTATTTATTCATGTTCAATAAAACTGATGAATTAGTTGAGTACTCGCAGCAAGAAAAGAAAGTGATCAGTCTACTTAGTCCTTATATTTAATGCTTATATAAAACCGACACAGAATATGAAAATAATACCAGTACTAATGACTACGAATAATATGGATCTGGATACTTTCGTATTGTCCCAGAAAAAAATTTATCTCTTTCTCTCTCTTTTTTTCTCTTTCTCATAGACCTTGTATTACAGTGATTACTCTTCAAGTACCCAATTCTATTCTTCAACATGTACAATCATTGATATACATTAAATCATAGTCACAATAATATTTTACTTGATAAAAAAAAGAAAATGCAGTTTTATTCAATTTATAAAACGAAAAGGAAAACGAACGAACTCTTTTATTACCGTTTAGAATCCCATTTGACACCTGTCAAAACCGCATCAGCAGTCTATGACGAGATACTAATATTCAACAAGTGAAGAGAGATATGAGCATATTTTCTCTTTCTTCCTTCTCCTTCTCTGTGTATACCTTTCCTCAATAGTAATTCCAATATTTTCTACTGTCCTATTATCTTCCTTTACGAGTTGAATAATATAAGAGAGATTAGAGGTGTACGCGCATTTCTTTTCTTTTTTCATTATAAATATCCTTCAATGATTTAAAACGTTGCTTAAGTAGTTGAATGAGAAAAAATATTTAGAAAATTGAATTAATCCTATGTAATATTAACCTTAACGTATGTTTGATATATATTGTTGCATAAAGAAGGGAGCGAAGAAAAAATAAAAGAAGAAAAAGGAGTATCTTGGAACCATAATTAGTCAGGTTAGACGGTCTTTTATAATCTATGCATAACGATGAAAAAAAAAACGAGCAACGAACACTTTTTTATTCCATTTATATATTTTTTTTTCTCATAAACGACGAACGTGATGCTGATAAGAGAGAAGTGTTTGCAGAAGTAATAATCCATTTTTTTTTGTTTTGGAGTGGTTTAGAGATTGTTGTTAGAGACAGATATTTCAGAAATGAAAATTTAACGTTAAAAATTGAGAATTGAATAATCAACAGAATTTATGGACTAAAAACTAGTTTGATCTTTACTTAATCATAGAGAATAGAAGAAAATTTATAATTATACCATCGATTAAGGGAGAGCACACTATACGTTTCTGTGATAAACAAGTTAAATTTGTTTGACTCCTCATTAAATCAGTATACGAGATAAGTGTCATGCGTGATCTCAGAATCTATTTGTGATAAACGTCTCTCGGTCAAAGTTTCAATCTTATGCCTAATGACGGAAAGAATGAGTTAACTGAGAAGTAGCCGTGGCAATATTTTAAATTAACTCAAATTTTGAAGATGAAAAGAAAAACTCATAGTCAATAGAATTACAAAGAGAAAATAATAATAGTCGTCGGCTAAAAAAATCCATGACCTCTACTCGTATTTTGACAGTTTTGTCATGAACGAAAAAAATTAACTTTTAGTGCCACATAATTTCATGAAGACACCAGTGGTGAGGAAAAAAATCACTTGGAAAATATGAGCTTTCTTTGTGATCTAGTTGGGTCATTTTTGTTTTTTCCTTTCTCTATATGTGCATGAAGCCATCCCTTCTTCTTCAAGCTTAATGCCAAACCTGATCAAAATTTTAGCCATATATAGCAGAAAAGTATGTTATATTAGTGAAGAATAAAAAAGTTCCATTTAGTCAACATAAAGTAATCTGATTCTCTACAGTAAACACAAAGTGTTAAACTAAAACGCGTTCATAAATGATATATTTATTTGCTAAAACAAAAAAATGTAGGTTTCTGTTGGAGCAGAAAGATCGAAATATATAACTTACTTTTGAGTTTATGATCACAATTAAACAACTGTAAATTTCATATTAAACTGACAGTGTACTATGTGAAAAATTGTTACTGCATTCTAATCGTCGTGATGTTTTTGTTACTATATAAGAATAATTCGACAGTTGTATGATTTTAAAGTGCTTCTTTACGATGAAAATCATGTAGTAAGCAGATACTACAAGAAAAAACTAACGAAGGAATCGCCCCAACTGCTTCGCGAGTTATGATTCTGTATTATAAGTAGAAGTAGAACTCGATGAGGCAAAGCGTGTCCATGGCCTTTCGTGTTCGAAATACGATCGACTTTATGTCGAAAAAACGCGATTTTTTCACTTTTTCAGAATTTTTTTCTCAAATAACCTTACTAGGGGTCTACTTGCTTCAAAAATATCAACTGCATTTCTTCTTGCGTAAAACTGCAATTCTTGCGTAAAACTCAAGATATTTATAATTTTTCATTGACCAACACATTCTTTACATTTTCCTTCCTACGCACATGCATTCTAATAACACGGTCAATGAAAAATAATAAATATCTCTAGTTCTACGCAAGAAATTCAGTTGAAATTTTTTGAGCAAGTAGAGCACTAGTCATTTACTCCCGAATGTCCACAGCTGTGGAGATATTAGTCGGATATCATAGAATCGCTATACAAGATGAAGATATGTCGAACCAAAAAACGGATTTTTTTCAAACGTAAGCTAACATCATAAAGTCATTACTAATAAGTAAATTTTGTTTCTTCGAGTGTAAACCGAGTTATGAATGTTCAAATTCACTTTGCAAGATCACCTGCCGAAGGTACAGGGCTAGTCAGATTATTTGAGAAAAAAATCTCTAAAAAAATCGCAATTTTTTTTTTTGCATAAAGTCGATCATAACTCGAGCACGGAAGGCGATGGGCTCGAACCATTTTAGGCTTTTCCTTGTCGCATCGAGATCTACTTCCACTTATAATACGCAGTCGTAACTCACGAGATAGTTGGCACGGTTCCCTCGTAAGCCACAACGAATAAGATTGATTTTTATCTAGATAATCTATCTGCTAATTCCAATACCATTCGATAGTAGATAAACAGCATATTCTATTTTTCTACCTTGTTGAGATGAGAAAGATCTGAGCACGAATATATCATCTATATAAAATAAAAATAAATTTTCAATATTTTTCTTTCAAAATTTTCTCTCTAATAAATTTGTCTTAATTTTTAACTTACCTACTACTAACTTTCAATATTGTTCGTGTGGCTAATATTTAAACGATTCTTTGGTATAATAAATGTCTAAAGTCGTTAAAAAACTGATGTTTTGAATCGTCACATTTCTGTTTTATTTTTCTTGCTTTTTCATGAACAAATAAATCTATATGTATTCTCTCTTTCTGATTTAAACCTCTTTTTTTTATCAGTACGGCAGCACTTTAGTCTTATCAGATTATATAAATATGCAATATATATATGCACAGCCTTTCAAAAAAATTGGCATTACATTTATATACATATATAAGACAAAAGAAGGAAAAAAGTATACAACACATTTTGGCTTGGGAACAAACGCACACGATGTTTCTTTAAAATGATATTGATATCCCATGTATATAGAAAGTTTTTTTTTTCTTTTTTTTTTTTTTGAGAAAAAATGACAAAAAACAACGTGTAGTGCATATACCGTTTTTATTGAGAGATATAAATTTACAACACCGACTATCAGTTTTTACTTTAAATATGATCGAAAATTTCTCTGTAAGAAGAAGAAAGAAAGAAAAACGTATTACATATACATATTTAACAAAATTAAGCACGTAGACCATTTATAAATAGATTTGTTTATAATTTTATTTGGAAGTCAAACGTACACATACATATACGATTGACCTTTTACCTATTAGAAGCAAGTATTTTATGAACAATGGACAAGACTATAAAAAGTATATTTATGTAGTGTGTGATTAAAGCAGCTGTTTTTGTAAAATCAGATGAATGGAAGATACAAGCATTGTTCAACTTATCAAATTCCATGAATTATATTTGAGTATTAACATTTAATATTAAATCTACAATGAATGATTCTTATTCACAGAAGATTCTTGAAATTAAGAGTAAATAAAAAAAAAAGAAAATACATTAACATATAGTTTTAGATCTAGATCTCATCTACCTTCATGTTATGAAAATTCATAACAGTAAAAAAAACATACTAAAACCTTTTTGTGTTTAATGTGTATTGTGTAGTTGTAATCTTTGTTATTATATACAAAAAAGAAACGGAAATGCTCTAATTGTCAGTACTAAAATCTTTTAAGGTAATTAATTCATATTGTTTCAATGGACTCCAAATACTTACCTCAAACAAATATTTTTTTTCATTCAAATTTATATCTTTTACTTTCAATATATCTTCAAACAAAATATGAGTCATTTTCTGTCCAATATTTTGATCTATTAAATACTGTTATGTTATAGTATGAAAAAGAAAGTGCTCCATTAAAAAGTACAATCTTTTAATTTTTAATGATAAACAAAAATAATAAAGATATCACGCTTTAATTCAATCGGTATCAACATCTTGTTGATTTATTGTCTTGCTCAAACTTTACTGTTGGCATAGTGATATTCATAGATTATCTATCGCATGCATATATAGTTTTAATTCTCGATATGACCGAAAATAGATTAAAATAATCTGTTTTCGTTTGTCAAATCTTGATATAAAGAATTTTAGAGATTCAAATCTATTTTTTTTAAAAATTCATTTTCATCAAAGACTATTGTTTTGTTTCAAATATTTTCTTTTGATTCTATTAAAAGATTTTAAAATATATTGTCAAAACAAAAATGACAAACTAAAAATGGATGGAATTCAGACTCTATCTGTAATGAGTTAATAATAAAATATTCCAAATGTAGCTACAGCACAAAATAAACTTTCATTCAAATAAACATATTCAGCCATTCCATCTGTATCTGAATCCCATAAACATCGACATCCATATTTCACTCCTTGTCCTTTATTTTCACCAATAACACATTGAACAATAAATTTATAACGTTCTAATTTCATATTTGATGATTTTAAACGATCACGAATATTAATTGTTACTATAAAAAGAAAAATAATTTTGTTTTGATAATAAAATAATAAATGAGTACATACTTGTTTTAGTCCATTCAGAACATGCTTCTTGCTCATATTTTTTATCACCTAATACATCACTAATACAACTATATAATATATCTTGAATTTTTGTTGAACGAAATTTTTCTTCGAAATTAGGGCGAACGGTATAAGCAGCCGCATTTGCATCTGACAATTTCATTGTTTCTTGTTGTTGTTTAGCAACATCCATGCTAAAATGAGAAAATAGGATAACAAGAGATCTAAATGGATTAAGAAATCGTAATTCAAACCGCACATATAAAAGATCGATCCAACCTTTGAATCGAGTTGCAGTTCTCCAATGACGACTTTTATTTGCATTCAATTACTTCTTTATGACACTTTCTAAGCATAATTTTCACTAAATGATACTTCTTTATTCTCATATTTTTTAGCCGATATCAATATTTTCTTCCATGTGCAAGGAAACAATGTACTTTTACAACGGTAACATGTATTTTCTTCAATCTCAGCCTATGCAATCTGATTCTATAATGGGGGGAAAGTGTTTCTCGGTGACGCTAAAAGTCAAGCAGAGCTATGGGAATTCCTGTGGAGACGAGCGTATTTGAGTCAAAAGACCGAGATCTATACTTTGAAAATGATAATTCATCATATGTATAATTTGCTTTTACATTTTTATTACATATAGAAGTAAAAAGCTATATGTTAAGATTCACACTTGAATGAAATTACAATGGTTGAGTTTTATAGATGAAAGTGAGTTAAACGAAGAAAAAAGTTGTGTATGAGATTAAACAGACGGTTGACAAAAAAGAACGACTGTTCCATATCGTGTATGTTGATGTAATAAAAAGTAGACTTTATGAAGATATTATGAGTCAAAAGGGGCCATAAGGAACCACAAGGCAAGGAGCCAAAGAAGCTGCGGCGACGCTTTTCCCTCCCCCTTGGATTATATCCACTCTGATTCTTTAGTGTTCCTAGAAATTACTGTGTTTGATCAAAAAAAGGAGACAATATATAACAAGAATCAAATTGTTCATTCTAATCTTGAGCAATAGCACGATATCTTTTTTCATTGCATTTATTATCAAGTAATAAATCTCTCACTTGATTAGGTCAAACAAAATACTCAAAACTTTTTCTTTCCTTTTTTTTATTGATTGTGTAACTAAAAATCTCAACTTACAAACGCATTCAAAAAGTTCAATAGCGAGGAGTAATTTCTTTTTATGATATTATCAGGTTGTACGTACATTTCAACAACTGCTTATTTATTGCTGTATATTCTCATAAACTATGAACTGTATAAAACTAGAAAGATAAACTTTCTAATATACAAAACCACTACTACTTTGTGATAATACCAAAGTGATTAAAATAGATAATGTATCTTCTAAAATTCGAATAAAGAAACAACAATTATGTGCAAATTATAAGTAAAACGAGATTATGCATTTGATATACAGTAACACATAGTCTAATGAATGGTCTAATAATTAGCCACTTTTGTAAAACATTTTTGCTCGTATTTTCTTTTTGATATAAATTCGAAAATAGCTTACTAAATCCAGTTTTTTACAAGACTGTGTACTCGAAATAATATCATGTTTGAAATCAGTGTTGTGATATGCCATAACTAAAATGCTCTAATTGTCATTACTGCAACAACAAAAAGTAATGTCGGATGTTGTCTTGAGATGAAATTGTTGTTGAATTTTCAAGTACATCAAATAATTTAACATTATATTCTGTTTTTTAGAGCTAATTAAAATATTTTAAAACAGTTTTAATATGCGAAAAAATATATATAAGCGATATCTTATTCATCTCGATTACTCTCCTATCAATTTTTTCGTCCTGCTAAGACATGATAACGCACTCTCTGACAAATAGTTTGAATGTATCAGAAATTAAATTCTACGTTTTTGGTATAAAACTACAAACTCAAACTTTAAAGTTAATTTTTTACTGCTACATTGCAAAAAACTAAAACTGTTTTCTCACCTCTAGTGAGCAAAAAAAATATTCTCCAAAAATGCCATATCAGTTTAAAACGATAGAGCAAAAAATTCTCTGCCATTTGATATAGATATCTTTTTCTTATTCATATATCTATTTGGATGGTGTATATATAAGCATTTTAGAAACCGATAATGATGTGGCACAGTAACGATAATTAGAGCATTTCAGTTATTGCCTATAACAACAGTGATTTCAAGCATGATATTATTTCTGGTACATAATCTTGTAGAAAACTAAATCTAGTAAGCTATTTTCGAATTTTTATCAACAAGAAAATATCGGCGAAAACTCTTTACACTTGAATGGAATAATCTTCTAAAAAATATTTAACGTAACTAATCTTCTAAGAAACTATTAGAATAAAGCCAATGAAATATAAAGCTATTATTGGTATTCTATTGGAAAAATCAGTTCAAAGTAAAAAGAAATAAAAAGTGCTTATCTGCATTTATTAGGAAAATAAACAGTAAAAAAAATAATTGCGCACATTTTTATCAATGTATGTTATGGACGGTGTCATTGAGACTAACAAAACAGAGATATTAGTAGTATGAATAATAAATAAAAAAAATAAAAAATTGAGTGTGATTCTTCTATAATTAAATGACATAGAAAATTAAATGAGATGAAAAAAAATATTCCAAACTAAAATACGTAAAAGTATGAGCACGGAAAAATCGTACGGTGAGAAAAACAAAGATTTGTGCTGATAAAAATTCGTTCAATACTGATTTATGGAAAGAGATTCGTACTTATGAGGTCAAATCGCTTTTTCGTCGAAACATACTTAATTATAGATGATATTTGATGTTGATTACGAATCTTATATTCATTTATTTCCATTGGTTCTTTAGGAAGAATGCTTTGAAGATCAGTTTTCTGGAAATCAATCACAAATCTTTGAAACAAAAGATTCTGATCATACAAGGTATGAAAGAACTCATTAAATTTATTCGTATGACAAGTTTTGAGATTACCACACAACTTTTAACAGAGTTGTAAAAATTTGACTTTTTTATTCAACCTGAACTTTTCAACTTTTCTGTCTAAAATTTTTACAGCTCTGTTAAAAGTTGTGTGGTAATCTCAAAACTTGTCATACGAATAAATTTAATGAGTTCTTCATACCTTGTATGATCAGAATCTTTTGTTTCAAAGATTTGTGATTGATTTCCAGAAAACTGATCTTCAAAGCATCCTCCCTAAAGAACCAATGGGAATAAATGAATATGAGATTCGTAATCAACATCAAATATTATCTATAAGAGATTATAAAAAAATCGTTTTTCAACATTTATTGATGAGAACACTAAAACTGATCTGAGAAAGAAAACTGGTCAATAAATAATATGACTGAAATATAAAAGATTTCTTCGTGTTTCTAAAAATGTTTAGCATAAATAGACTTTTCACTACCGGTATTGATTCTTGTTAATTCACGATGAAAATCCACAGCTGTTTTAAGTTCTTGTTCAAATTTTAATTTGTCAATCGATGGATGGTTTTCTTTTAGTAAAAATTTTTTACCCGACATCGAATGTACTAATCGTCCTTCGTATGTCGGCGAATGAAACGATGCGTTTAATGAGTTTTGACGTTGTTGTGAGCTATGTGCCAAAAGATCAGTGGCACGACCACCGTTCACAGATTGTGATAACGGTGAAGTGACATCGATCGAGGGTTTTTTTAATGGAACAGAATGCTGTTCACTTTCTCGATGTCGTTTCGATTCTAGGTAAAAGAAATCATTGCAGATAAAAAGAGCAAACGATATTATGATAGATCTATAAAAACTTTTTTCGATAGATAGTTGATTCAAACATACCTATTGAATTTGGATTTCTTTGTTCACTTTTTAAGCTCAATAAACGTAGTAATCTTTCGTCACTATCGGCTTTGATTAAAGCCATTCGATAGCGTTTTTGATTTTTAAATAGATCACTCCAGTTTGATTCAAAATATTGTCGCAAATGATTATCTCCTAATACGGATGGAGCCTAAAACCATGGTCAACACGTGCTTTTCTTTCGGCGACAAAGCAGAAAAAGATCACACAATTACCGGTATTGTTATTGGATAGGAAAATGCTGTCATATCGCTGATATGTCTGGTTTTTTCACGTTTATTATCATTTCCTAAACCTGAGTAATATCGTCGAAAATTTCTCCATATATTAAAATTGATTGGCGGCTTTCCATCGAGATTTTTAGGATACAATGGCTTATGATTCTGCTTACCGGCTTCTAGCCTACAAAAAAGAAAAACCAGAAATAGACATGAATACGCAAGCTAACTAAAACATAGAAACACTGAACCTCTTAATCTACGTATATCAAAATACTTCTTATCTTTTTCTTCTGAAATAACTTTATAGCGGGCGTACCATAAATAATGTCGGTCTCGGTATTTTTGCTCTAACTCCTGTCCCTTAGGCCCTTAGAGAAAATTCTTTTTTAAATAGAACCACCGCAAAATTCTCTACAAAAACATACCTAAACTTTAGTTTCAGAACTTCAATCAAGAAAACTAATCAAATTAATCGGAAGACGTGGTATTTTTCGACTTGAACTTTTTCTTCTACTATTATTTCCGTAAAAAGGCATAGTAAAAAGTGAGACCTCAGTTTGTGTGTGGTACTTTCAAATGTGCTCTTTCTCGTGGGCTGTAAAAAAATGTCGATCGAAAAATCTGTTGTTTTGATGGAGTTATGGAACTGTAACTGAAAGCACCACCATACGCAGAATTTAAGAAATTAATCAAAAAATGCATGGCAACTGACAGAAAAATTATTATTTCGCCGTCGGTTTTGATGTGAAAAAATTTGAAGCATAGCTAGAAGATAGAACGCAATCAGGGCTACAGAATGACTAACTCAGTTTTTCTTACTTTCAAAACGTTAACACAAGAACTCGTTTTTGATTTTACAAAGTTTTCAGTTTTTTCACCCTGCGTATAATTTGCTTAGTTTTTTTGATTGAAGTTTTGAAATTAAAGTTTAGGTATGATTTTGTAGAGAATTTTTGAGGATGCGGTGGCGCTATTATCAAAAAAATTTCCTATCATTCTCCATTCATTATAAAAGCTTGACTCTTGCCTAAATCGATAGAGAAATGCGTGGAGAATATTTACTACGGGAAAATATGTATAAATTTTTGTTCTTTCCTTCCTGCTATTGACCAATTAGTACTAATTAACGTTAATTTAGTCTACTCTACTAGTTTCGAGTTTGCAACCACACTTTTGCTCCAAAATGCTTCCTTTTCGAGAAACTATGGACAAGGTTTTTTTCAAAATACTTTTAGCTGTAACATTCGATGGGGAAGGTAAAAGTTGAATTTCTCCGTCAAACTGCATCCTGGAACGATGAACATTTTTTTCTGTACACAACTTCATGTCTTCTATCTGCTGGTGCAGCAAACAAGTCTTCGTTTTAAAATTTAATGATTTTAGTTAAATTTCAAAATCTGGGTAAAAAACCTGAAAAAACTTCAAAAAGTTTTTCTCAACAGCTACAAGTCCGGGAAGTGAAAACATTGTTGAATATTTACTACAAACTGACGGAAAAAAAAGCTTCCTTAAATTTAAACGATATTTTGAACGATACCCAAAGAAGTAAACAACAACCAATCACTAACCATAGATCATAATCAAGTGTAGACGCTGATCGTTGTAATGTCAATGGCGGTGATGGACGTTCATCAGCAACACATGAAGAACGCAATGTATGATGAAGTTCATGATCGATAGATGTTTTAGGATGATCCAAAACTGCGAGTCGTTGAGTTATATGCGGTTTAAAACTTAACGAACTAGTTTCGTCGACACCACCAACACATGGAATATAATCACGCTCTTTAAATGTCAACATTGTTTTGTTTTATGATCTTCATCTATTTAAATCTGAACAAAACATACTGGTATGATAAAAAGACGACAAAATTTTAAAGGAATGTCGAAAACAAAAGCAACTCACTTGATAGTATCTACAATCAGTTTTTATGTCTCTACTTTGATTATCTCATCAGGGCTAGAATGTATCCTAGTCGACCGATCTATTTTTTCTTTCGTATGGGAGAAAGTTGACGTGCATCAAAAGAGAATATGATCATCTAACTTTAATTAATAATTACAATCTGTTTAAAAATAATTAATTGATAAAAAACCAACAAATTTTGAATATAAAAAATATAGACAAAGTCAGTAAAATAAAAAAATAGATATTATACTTCTAAGATACTAACAGATACGATGAAAGATGTCTGTGAGCCGCCAACACTATAAGTGTCGATGTATCAGGAAAATTAATTAACGTGTTGACGAACCGGGACTAAATCTAACAGATTTACTCATAATCACTAATTATGATTATAAAGACAAGTAAGAAAGATTAAAAATTTAGTGAAAATCCAAACTGATCAATGACTAATCCTTCTTTATAATAATATCTATGTGCTTGTTGTCTTTGGCAACCACTATCTAGCGTGAATTTATCTGCTCCATAAAATTTTGCTTCTTGTTTTAAATGATTCATTAACACATGTCCAACTCCAGAACCTCGTTTTGTTTCATCTGTTACTAAATCATCACAATAAAAATGTTTAAAATGTTTCATATTTAAAACCATGCGATACATTGTAACACCAACTACAACGTCTTCAATTAGAGCCAAAGCGATATGAGCCGGACCCGTTTGACAGATTATTTTAATTTGCTCGATGTATTCATTACGAGTTTTTAACATAGTTCGAAGTTGATGATGAATGGGTTCTGCTTTTAATAAAAGCTCATTATAACTATCTGGTATTACACCGGTATTATCATCTGTTAATTTAATAATTTTAACAGTTGATTGTTGACTATTTTCAATTGTATCTAAATTTCTTGCACTAAAACCAAATGTTGTTATTCTTAAATTATGTCGGAAAAAAAATCGTTGTGCATCAGTATTATCCACATTGCATTGCACTACGATTGATGGTGCAGTTATTTTTTTTGCTTCATCTATCAAGTAAGTCATTAGTTTTGTACCATAACCACGATTTCGTTCATTTTCAATAATAAACATGTCTAAAACGTCAAATTTAATTACATTAAATGTATTGTTAAAATAACGATAGAGACATAGACCAATAAGAGTTCGCTGACTATTATCACTGGATTTCAAAATAATACAAAAATGTGAATGACCATCAAGACAAATTTCTTGAAGAAGTTGAATATATTGATTTTCATCAATATTCAATAAATTCGGATGTAGTTGTTTATGTAATGAATAACATGATTTGACGAATTTTAATGTGTCTGGATTTATTACACCCTTATTATCTGTTGTTCTGATAATTTCAATAGCAGACATAATGGAACTAACTATTATTTTCTAAAATAAAGCAGTTCATTCAAGACTAATTTGAAAGTTCCCTATGTGTCGATCATTGTTCATTGAGGAAAAATATAACTATATAAAGAAAGAAGTTTAAACTTAATTGTGATCCAAATATGAGCAATCTGGAACACCATAATGGTACACGATAAATGGTCACCAGTTATATATATATCTGTTCGTGTCTCATCAGTGATTCGTATCCTTCAATTTTTTGTTCGGTGCAATAATTAGATAGACCAAACAATATGTCATATACGTTTGTCTTTTCGCAGCTTCACATAAAACTAATGACATTTTCGGAACCAGCTCGTTATACTGCCTCTTATAGTAGGTCAGAAATGTCCACTGAGACAGAGTTTTCTATTCTGACAGAGGATATATCTGTGAGGATAAAAATCGAAGGGAGGTAGAGTTAAAACAGTTTGAAAATGGCAACATTTGAAACTGCCGATCACGTTTCTGATGCAGACATGTATCAAATTTCTCTTTTCAATGTAAAGTTTTATTTATTCACGAACGTAAAAATTTATTCACGAAACGTGAGAGAATCATCAAAGGTCCAAGACCTATAAAACTATGACTCGAGCCAAACAAAAACAAAAAGAATCTATAAATAGAAAAATAAAAATAAAATAAAGTTTAACACCTGGATTTGTTTTTAACTGTAAATATGATTATGTTCTACTGGAAAGATGTTGAGATAAAGCTATTTTAAATGACAATAACGAAGATGAATGAACGACTGATTCTGGGAGATTATTCTAGTTAGTGACAGTTGAATGAAAGAAAGAAGACGAAACTGTTTGTGGAGGAAACCCGTTTACAGGAGGTGAAATACGAACATGTTTAGAATATTGACAACGTAAAGAAGAATAATGAGGACAAAGAACATTATAAAAAGAAGAAAGAAGACTAAGACGATGATAAATCTTGAAAAACTGTACCAGTCGAAAATATTTAGGACGAAGTCACTTCAGATAGTTAAGACACAAGTAAAGAGCCAGAAGAACAGTAGTCAAAATTACGAGAAATAACACGAGGAGCAAGTTTGTTTACAGAATCAAGAACAGTAAGAGAAAACGAACTATCATACAAGGCGCAACAATAATCTAGGTTAGGAAGAATAGAAGAAGGATAAATTCGACGCCGAGCCTCTGGTGAAGCTAAGCCGAAGACACGACTCAGTGGACCCAGTTTACGCCGACAAGCAAGAGCAATGTCACTAGCATGTTCATTTCATCAACGATCATGCGAAACAAGAACATCATTAATAAAAATAAGAAATAAAAGCTGTCGAAAATAAGAGATAAAAACTGCCTTGAGGAACGCCAGAAGGACCAGAAGGAGAAGAAGAGGAGATAGAATCATGCACACGCACACACTGTGGACGGTCAGAAAAATAAGAAAACAATAGAGAAAATAAAGAATCACTAAAACCACAACGCGATAATTTTTCCAACAAAAGAGAATGAGAGACAGAGTCAAACACTTTAGAAAAATCAAAAGACATACCGACACATTTCACAGCAACATTTGAAAAAGTAGAGCAGTTGAAGACAAAAATAACAAAACATCTAGAATAGAATGTTTAGGGCGAAAACCAAATTGTTTATTTACAAAGGAATGTTTAGAGAAATATGAAAAAAGAAAATTGTACATTAAACGCTCAATGACAGTTAAACCGTGCCCCCAAAACAGGTTTGCGCAGGTCGTTAAAACTCTCTATCAAACGAGATTCATAGATTGAAAATGGACTTTTTACACCTACTTTACAAGCGAAAAATATGTATACATTTGTTCCTGTGCTTTCGCCATGCTGCTTACCTACCTGTTATTTTGTAACTATGAAGCAACAAATGGCTGCTTTAAGCAACGAATAGAATGATCCTTCTCTAACACAGCTATATCATCGTATGTGTGAACGATAGCCACCGACATCTCTTTCAGTAGAGTTCAAATGTCTCATTAGTATGGCAAATTTACGGTTGCCTATCTTTGACTTGACTTGTAGGCTGCCTCGTTTAAAGTTACAATCTCCCACTACATGAAATAGTTACATCTTCGTCTACTATTGAGCTTGCAGTGAAAAACTTGATTCTGAATGAAGTAAACATAGAGTTGCGCATATTGCATGACATATAGTAATGTGTCTTTACAGAGAGATAGAAGCGTAATAATTCGCTGTCAAAAACAACTTACTAGAGGAAAACCTCAGTATTGACGATCTATCACTTGCTAATTCACGAGAGAAAGACAAGTAACATCAACTCAAGTGAAACTAAGTGTTTTGGATGAATTTTACAATAATTCTTCACATTTATTATGGCAAACTTCACTAAAATATGTAATGATTCTTTTTTTCGCTTTGTGATGTGTTCCTGATGAGATTGAGGATCCTAAATTGCTGTTGATATAAGCTTTATTCTGTCAGAATACAAACGGAAAAATATTCTATTATAGTATTCTAAGCTAAAACTATTGAAAAACACAAAATAATTTTGTACGAATGAAGTGAGTTTCAATGAGTGGATCTCAACGAGTGAAACTATAAACTATTTATTTTCGTATTTTCTAGATTAAGAACTTAATCTAGATGTCAGAATCAGAGCTTATCTGGCATGAGTAATATTGAGTTTTTAGTTGCTATAAGCTTTAGTCGGTCAGAATAAAGAGTTTTTTAGTTTCCTTTCGTATGAGCGAGATCCCAGTCAAATTCTTTTATATGCGTGTCAGAAACCTTGAATTTTTTCTTTGCTGTTTAGGCTCATTCAGTAACGCTGTCTACAGTGGATCTCAGAGTAAAATGTAGAAAAAAGTGAGAAAATACACCTAAATGTTGATGTTTCGTCTATGACCGAGTGAGTTACCTCGGTGTAAGATCGTTTAGCCGTTTGAATCTCTCAAAATGTAGCGACGATCAGACTCGATCCTATTTGATGCACCGAAGATTATAAGCCGGCTTTCGCAGCCTTATTCACAGGATACTACAAACGAACTGATCCTAGTATTAGTTACCTTCGGGTACACATTCTGTGGGAGTCCTAGCGTGAATATGTTCTTCACGTACGAGAAACGTTACCTTACAGGTAAAAAGTCATAGACGAAACGCAAAATGGCATTAACTTATCTCACTCTTACACTAGAGCTCTAATAATCCGGTCACATGTCGAAGTGAGGATAAGAAATACAGCAAAGTACACAGATACTTGTAAAGTTCTTGTGTAGTATAAAGTAGTGAATAGTTGATAATAAAAACTTCTACGGGGTAAAAGAAATATATCCTGATATATGTTTTTATTTCGTACTTTCCTCGTTTCTGGTGATTGTTTCCGGCTTCCAGCACTTTTGATTCAGTTCCTGTTGGACAGTAGCTTATCCTGTTTCAATTCACTTCATTTAGCGGAACATCGATAATGATGAAACTGTAATGCGTGATAGTGAGAAAAATCACAATGTTGATCAACGCGACGCTGCTTCAGACGGGATAGATATAACAAATGAATTATACTTTTTTGAAAAGGAAGTGCCAACTGTTGATGAGCAAGATCATAATGTCCAAGAACAAACAAGTGAAGATGAAGATTTAGCTGAAAATTTCCCGAAACATTATGATTATTCAATTCAACACCACTGCATCCATCGCGATGGGTACATATTTTACATTCACGATTGAAACAGCATTTAATGAGATATAATTGAAAACAGCCGAGAAAACATCTGTCAACTAAAAGTCTTCTTGCTTTTCTGCCTCCAAGTTTAGAAAAACTATTTCATTTAACTAAACATTAAGTTACATTTCATTACTTACCATAATAATCTATTTGACAAGCATAATATCTCCTTATAACTTTATAATTATATATATATGTATGTAAATACAAAGTTTCCATGTATATACTAAGTAAGACCGTAACAAATATACATGGAAAAAGATATTGTGCTGTGCTTTTTTTCGATGAAATAAAATATGGTATTTATCCATCATCAAAAATTATACAAACAGAGCCATTTCGTTGAGACTGTCACCATAATGGGAAGTATTATGCTTGACAAAAAGATTATTATGGTAAGTACACTGTAATGTCGGGAATTATTTATAGAAAATGCTCGGCGATTTTCAAAAAGTCCATATATAAATTCCCTGAGGATTTTCTAGATTCTAGAAAATCGAATTTACAAGAAACTTGGAAATTCG